ATATGACTGAAAAATTTCATTTTTTCTGAAAAGGTGGTGTCTATTTACTTGTGACCACGCTGTGTACATACAGTAATAATAAAATTGGTGGTTGCAGGTTCAGTCCTTTAGTGTTGAAACAGCACTTGGCAGACTAATGGAATTTTAGAAACAGAAACAACAGATCATGTCATATTATAACCTAGGTGGATGTATTTGAAGTTAAGCACAAAGCTACACAATGGGCTATCTGTGCTCTGCCCACCACGGGTATCGAAACCCGGTTTCTAGCGTTGTAAGTCCGCAGACATACCGCTGTGCCACTTGGGGGGGGGCAGGTGGATGTAATGGAATAAATTATTAAAGTAGACATTATATAGTTCTTCATACCATAGTTCATATCCCCTACTTCTTGTTTACTTCGAGTTCAGTCCACTTTGTCTACTTCCAAAATTTCGCTAGCCTATCATGCCTAGATCTGACGCTAGAGGACTGAAGTATCTGCTAAAGCCACACGGATATATATATATGTATTAACGTATATCAGTTCCATGGCATCACAAGTGAATATCAGAATTATAGTGAAAACATACACGTCAGGTGTTTTTAATTACAAATTCTAACAACATAAAAAATTACCCTTTTTGTAATTTATGTCAACCACATTCTCTTTAAAGAATTTCCTTTTACTTTTAGTTACATCTATATCTAGATATAAACAAGTAATACAATATTCACGTTTGATTTCGTGTTTACGATATAGATAATGTAACGAACAACAGCTTACAAAACTAGATATTTGAAAAACGCGATATGTATTAGATAATTAAATTTCAATAATTTAGTAACTTACACATACTTGAAAAGCTATTTTATTCTTAAAAACCCCTGGGTAGAAAAATGTCCAAATAACAGCACATGTATGGAAAGTTAAAACTCCTTTTTTCCAATATAAAACATGCTTTAAAATAACGGATGAAACAAAGTTAGTCATGTTAAAGTTTTAACATGATTGATTGACTCGTTTTAAGTATATCATAATAGTTCTTAAAATAACTTTCATTTGTTGAGTACTTATTATTTGAAATACAATGAAACAAGTTACTAAGCCCCAAGATTAATCAAGATTTTAGTGTTCCATGGTCCTGGCTTAGAAAAAAAAAATTACGTTAACGCCTTCTTAATTTTCAGATGTTGAGAAGAAAATCAGACTCCATCAAATTCCTGGAGACATTTGTAATATGAAGTTTAAGTCATTAACTCATTGTTAAGTTGTTGCCGGAACTTAAGCTTTGGTCAAATAAGAGCTTCGAACATTGAAATAGAACATCTGAACAATTGTTTTCTCGTATTATTTAATACGTAAAAAAAAGCACGTGGAAAAACAACAACAAAGATTGTTTGTTTGTTTGTAGTTATGCACAAAGCTACACAATGGGCTATCTGTGCTCTGCCCACCACGGGTATCGAAACGCGGTTTCTAGCATTGTAAGTCCGCAGACATACCGCTGTGCCACTGGGGGGCAACAACAAAGAACTAGTGAACTTTGCACTAACGTGCTAGAATTAAGTTTTAGTTTCTGATTTCGTTTCTAGGTGCTTGAATACGATAAATGCATTAGTATTGGTACCTCATTATAGTCACATGGTATTTCGAGTTTGTAATAACTACGAATGATTTATGGTTCAAATAGTTGATTACGTACAAGTTGTGACGTCCCTGAAATGTTCGTAAAAATTGCCTTATTCTAGCTTGTTATCAATAATTTTATTTTGTTTCGGTTATGTGTGCTGTGCCCACAACAGCTATCAAAACGTGATTTTTAGCGTTATAAGCCCCCCAGACTTACCGCTGAGCCACCGATGGGCAGTAACTTCTTTGCTGATAACCAGATAAAAAAGTCTCTAAGTTACATTTACTCTTTATGCATTACGTACTGGATCCGCTAGACTCAAATCTTCTAATTTTTTTTCATTAATTACATCTTTCTTTTTATCACTAATGGGACACACTGCATTTGGCTTAAGTTTTAGATGACAACCGTTTGTTTTTAATTTCAATACTTACCACTTAAGAAACAAGTTCGCAAAGTGACGTAGATAAAAAAAACGAAACTGTGGCTATAAGTTCAGGTGTCTTAACTCGCAGATAGTTGTTTTACAATTCTTAATAGCATGTATATTTTCATACCAAATGAATTACCACAGCTACACACTCGGCTATCTTCACCGTGTGTGCCGCGGGGATTGAACCCAAAAATATAGTGTTATATGCCCTCAAGCTTACCGCTAAGCCACTGGGAGACTGAATATAAAAGAAAATATGCTGATACTGTTATTCCTGAAGTTACAATATTTATGTTTGTGAGATGGATCGAATGGAGATTTGTTATTGCATTAAAGCATTATATCTTGTGTCAGATTAAAAAAACAACAACATCTTTATATCATTATCTGTCAGCGTACACTCACATATACTTATCATACTAAATTTTGAAGAACGTTCTTATTACACTTTTAACTTGTAATCCAACCCACTTTAACTTGTTATCTAATTCACTTGTCTTGAATGATAGTCAATACTGGATATTGTGCACAATTTAAGAATATAACATGGTGCTTTTACAATTTAAACATACGAATCACAAATATATGTAATATTTTTGAAGTAATAGAAAACATTTGGTACATAAGTGCAGATAGAATGTTTTGTTCTGCTGGTAAAGTAAGTGTCACAAATTCAAGAAAAAAATCAGCAAATGTTGATTGTGAATGTAAAAACAAATGTGTTGTTCGACAAAGCACGCTATTTAAATTTCAGTGCTAATTTAGGCTTCAGGTGCTTTTTCATTCTATTAATATATCTCAAAATTTCTGGGAACTCAAGAATCTTCAGTAAGTTCCAAAAACACGCAAGGACTGAATGGCGGAGTAGACCCAGACGTTTTCTTCAGTCCTTGTTCCTGGTTGTTAAAGCACAACAAAGGAGTTGATCCACAATTTTTCCCCGCAACAGAGTTTAATGTGGAATAATTATATGCAGGGGAGCTGCCAACATTGTTCTCTATTCCAAAATCAAAACTGTACGAACTAGCATTTCTTCTGAGTTCACAGTCTGAACTGACCGAAAGCGTGTATTCTTTGTTCAGCTCTCGTGTGGATGACACCTGGTGGTGGAACATAACAGGATGTTGAGGCACTGGGGAGGATGTTGCACTCCTACTGGGTCGTGGATCAGGTCGTAGACGATTGTCCTATAAAAACCCATTAAATTCAATTTTATTCAACACAAAATGCATTTTATTAAGAAATACAAAAGCAATCTGTTTGCCTCTCATTGTTGCATTTAATACTCTCATCATTATCATTAAAAAATGAAAAATAAAACAAAATATCCCTTAATTCAAATACAGATTCTATACCAGATTCTTGTAATCTTAAGCCTAATTTAAAAAGAAATCGGCAATAATTCTTTCAGCACCTACATAAAGAAACTTTACGCGAGTTTGTTATAAAACACCTTAAGTTGATGCGTATCATGAGACAATAAAACTTTAATAAATAGTCATAAAAACAAATTCGTTTGAACATACTCTTTTTAATAATATTTCAAGAACTTCCCACGTGACTCTGAGGCTTAATAAATCATCAAGTATGTAAAATTTTAACAGATTTTAAATAAGACGATTATGCGTTAAATCAGAGTAAACTCTACCACAATTCAGGGCGAGTCTGAACTTGTGCATTAGTGCGCATTTCATTTATCACAACTTTTGTTGTAGACAATGAAAAGGATCTGAAACTCGGAGACGTATTAATATTATAAAAAATTGACGTATTCCGTTAATATCAGAATAGTTGAAGTCGTGTAGTACTCGACTGCATACAAACTTAAAACGAAACAAAACATGATGCATAACAAAAATACAAGATATATCAGCGTTTTATTGCTAAACTGTTTTCCATTGAGGACAATATTATTGCGCCACCTAGCGTAACAGAAAGCAACTAGCTTCTCACAACCGGTTACAGCTGATTACTAGCAGTTTAGGTGTGTGATGATGATGATACCAGAGAACTTACATTTGTTTTTGCTTTTAGTGTTAATATCTTATTAACTGGAGACTTGTGAAAAGAGGTTCGATCTGATAAAAAGTGTATCAGTACACTTACACGAGAACTATTTTTGTAGCTGCCTTTTTTGCTCGGATGAATTTTAAAACATCCTTTGTGTAATTTCGCAGCCAGATCACGTCTCAGTATTTAACGTATTCGATTAGGAATACTAGGTTTTCAGGTTCAATACGTGGTGCCACCAAACAAGCCCGTGCGTTATAACAGCGACACTAAAATTCCACTGTTCGATTAGAGTAATTCAGGAGTTGGCGGTGGGTGGTGTTGATTAGTTGCTTTCTTTTTAGCCTATGACATCAATATTATGGACGGCTAGCGAAGGTAGCCTTCGAGTAGCTTCGTGCAAAATTCAACAAACAACAGTGACAGATATCACCGATTGGTTGCATTATATTTGGCCCGCAGTTCAAAATTATGGACGGCTGTGCCCGAACCATAGAAATCTTTTAGTTAGCTGTTTTTCCACTCTGGACATAAGGTATTGATCTGGTGAACAACTGACGAAATCGTATTTTCACCTTCTTGTTTTATCTGTTCCATTAATATGACGCTCTTCTTTTCTTCTTATTGTTGGACTTTAATTAAAATCTAATAAAAAACACTTTAGATGTGAAAAAACTGGTGCGTCCCCAAAAGGATTCAGCATGCGACTTAAAGGAATTAAATCAAAACTGGCGGCCAAACTGGTAGCTACACTTATAGCATTGATATTAATTTTACAGTAACTATTCTTTCATTACTTAGCTAGACCGTGTATTTTGTTTTACCCACCATCATGGCCCAAGTTGAACAAAAACACGGCTAATTAGTGAATGAATATTTACTGTAAAATTCTTATCAATTCTATAAGTGTAACTACCAGTTTGGCCACCAATTTTGATTTCATTCCTTTAAGTCGCATGCTGAATCCTTTTTGGGACGCACCTATTTCTTCAAACCTAAGATGTTTTTGATTAGATACCTTGACTTTTTGTCAATACACACCAACAAAGCACACCAAATATGAAAGTGACACTCGATAGTAACCAACATTAGATTTAGGATCGCAACCCTATTATTTCGAACAGACCTTTACTTTACAGAACCAACAGATTCTTCAAAATATATGGTGGTAGTTTTACTCTCTAAAACAATGTTAATAACTTCCTTTATAGTAACGCCACGGAATTTAGATTAACAGTTTTTTGTCATCACCCCATGCAATCGGCACAGCCGTATGAAGCATCATTATTTATGCTAGTTTCTTAAGCTAATATCAAGTGACGCTAAACGCTCTTTAATTAGGATAGTTTAATAAAATTTAGCAAATCTGTGCTGAAAGGTTGGCAATGAACAATCAATAATAACCGTCCACTCCTTTGAAAATTTGAGCTAGAAACTGCTAATCTAGTTTGCTTGGCCTAACCAATACTTATGTATCTGCACGTCTTTTCACCTTATAGTTTTGCTGCTCGAAATCAGCTGTCTTTAATGCTAATGCCAAAAACTAAAAACGGTCCACTTTTACTCTTAGGTGAAGCTGTAGTAAAAACGCTAGACCGATAGCTCATGTGATTTCTTGCGTAGGCATGCACATAAATTTTCGTTGCAGTTGTGGCTTAAACTTACACCAAATGTGACTCCTAACTGTAGTTTGAAAAGATCTACCAGTGCACTAAATTTGAAAAAATCCAAAGAAGTTAAATATATTTTTCTATCAAATAAAGTTCCGTATTTTTAGTGCGACGAAAAAAAAGGAAAAAAAAACTCAATCAAAATTGGAGATGTTATATCCGGTATTTTTTAAGGAATTGCCTTGAAATTTGGTGTGTGAAGTAAGAGTCCAGTATAGCACATACACTGAAGATATGTGATAGTTTGGGTTACCACAGTCCGAAATACAGAAGGTGAAGAATCGCTAAACTATCACTCCTGTTAATAACACACAGTATGTCCTGCTACCGTGTGTTTTCATATATTTCACTGGATGTTGGGAGACGCTGTAGAAATAAACTTTTGTCAAAGGGTGTTCTGAAGTGAATTAACCTGCCTGTGTGGACTTTGACTAAAAAGAGTCAGTTATTTAAATCTCTGAATACAATTGTGATAACCAATAGTGTACATACGTTTAACTTATGTTAAATATACTATTTTAAAATAAGTGGATTATGTGCTGTCCGTTTATTGTTGAAATTTATCGCCAGCAAGTTACAGACACCTACTGCAAAGAATCCGACCCTATAAAATTCAATGAAATACTTTGTAAGCACACTAAGCACTTATTATGTTGTGCTGATCGAGCAAATTTTAGAGTACGATAATGATATAAGATTGTTTTCAAAATTTTAAGGATTTTCAATAATCTGAATGTATTAAACTTGAATAATATACCCACTGGGTTCAGATGCCTCATTGCACCAATCAAGCCCCTCCATTATTTCCAAATACTTCTAAAGGTAGAAAACAAGGCCCTTTAGGAAAGTCGTCCGTGGTACCTGAGCATGTGTGACACATTTGGTCCTCCTAGCTTGTGAGTGGGATTATAAACATGGTTACCGGATGGAGCCAGGGACACAAAATTGGATGCTAGATTCATGTTCAGCGACTCTAGAAACATTTCCCCATCATGCGTGGGTGACCTTCCAAGCGCGTTCAGGCTCCACTTAGTACTCCAAATAAATAAGGGTAAAGGGACACCTAGCGGGTGACCTCGAGTCCACCTGCCATGTGTGATCCTTCTAGCTCCAAAACTCCAGGAAAAGTTCGAGGATAAACAAATTCACAAACACACTAAGTGAATTCATGTAGGATAACTTAAATCTCTAACAAACATTAAGTTGATGAAATTTGGTTGAATGGACGGTATCGTGCCTGTTGTAGAGACACAAATATAAAGGACGACGTTTTGAAAGTCTTCCGCCTTTCGTTTTCAGAAGACTAAGGGGAAAGACTTTGGAAACGTCGTCCTTTATATTTGTGTCTCTACAACAGGCAGTTACCCTCCATTCAAACAAATTTCATCATGAATACTCTGCCTAAACAATCTATCAAAGAAACATTAAGTTGTTCCTTGAAAAAAGTTTCTAAGATTATGCATTATCAAAAATCAACACTTATTTTATGAATATTTATAAAGTTTGTAAGAATATATCAATAAAGTTGGTAAAATAGTTTGTTTTCAGATTTCTCCAGAACTAACGTGAAAGTCTGGGGAAAGGAAGTTTCTATTGAGCGTCGTGGGGTTGAGTAGAGGTTGAGGAGACGGGGTGGGTACTCGTCGTTCACAGGGGGAGCCACCAGTCAGTGATGTGAACGACATACGGTAAATCCGTAACGGCTTTGATCCATCCATAGAAGTGTTACTGGTAGTAGCTAATAAACAAACAAACAACTCATTTTCAGTTTCTCGTTTTACGTATACAGTGATTTTTATTTTTCTAGAAACATATTTTTAATATCATACGAAAAATAAATCAAATTCATTTAATAGTCACTTATTTTTTTGTCATCCCGGAGTAAGTAATTCTCTGGTTATTGTCATGCAAATTTCCAAGAGTATTTAAACGAATTCACTAAGTCAATCGTGGAAGATTATGAAGCACAACATGACGTCACACTTGGATACATACCTTTCTTTAGAAACAATCAGGTGTACGTTTTCATATTTTGTACAAAAAAATTAAAAACATCTATAGAATATTATTAGAAATCATATTAACTTTTGTTTGTTTCTTATTAAGCACAAAGCTACATAATGGGCTATCTGTGCTGTGCCCACCACAGGTATCGAAACCCGTTTTTTTTTTTTACGTTATTAGCCTTCAGATCTACAGTTAGACCACTGGAGAAGATTCATATTAAATAAAAACTAATAATCATCCCAAAATAAATAGTAAAAGAATACAACAAAAATGTTTTCAATAATATCTGCCAATTGAATTTGACTCCCAGTGGCACGGCGGTATGTCTACGGACTTACAACGCTAGAATCCGGGTTTCGATACCCGTGGTAGGCAGAGTACAGATAGCCCATTGTGTAGCTTTGTGCTTAATTACAAACAAACAAACTAAACTTTATATTTCTTTAGCGAGTGCACTTTTTAAAACTTATTTCGGATTAAATCATTAAAGTTAAAGAAAAAAGTAACTTACAATGTGGTGATGCTGGTGGAGAAATGCTGGGATCTCTTTCCATCTTGTCAACTTTTACTCTCTCTCTTTTTACTTGAAAAAATTCTGGTGCCGTACTTGAAAAGTAGATGTCGCTCTGTAGTAAGAATAAACATAAGCATAAACGGATATTCGCATTTTCAACTCGATAAGGTGTTGAGATAGAACTAAAATAATAATCTTAGCAAGCTTCCTTTTATTGGATTCAGTAGGCTATATTAAATGGCTCACATCAATGAGCGACTCAGCTAAGTGCTATTCAATACTGAATGATAAAACTGAATTACAACAACGAGTTACACAACTAAATGCTCTTCAATACTAAATTATACGACTTTCTCATAACAATGAGTTACATAACTAAGTACCTCTTAATACTAGATGATACGACTAATCTACAACAATAAGCTTTACGATTAAAGTGCCTCACACCACTGAGTTGTATAACTGTCTCACAAAAATGACTTATTTAACCATTTCGCAACAATGAGTTACACAACTAAGTACCTCTTAATACTAGATGATACGACTAATCTACAACAATAAGCTTTACGATTAAAGTGCCTCACACCACTGAGTTGTATAACTGTCTCACAAAAATGACTTATTTAACCATTTCGCAACGATGAGTTACACAACTAAGTGTCCCTCCGCATTAAATGATAAGTTATACGACTAAGTGTTTCTCACATCAATGAGTTATACTAGTTCTCATAACAATGAATTAAGCACTAAATGTCTTTCTTTTTATTGGTTGATTGATTTTTAGCCACTAGGGGAGATTAATGGCGACCAAAGCACAGGTCTCTTCTTGACAATAATGTTGTCCCGTCAAAGCACGTTTGACAGTCCAGGCAGATTGGCACTGTCCCTAATTCCGAATCACCGATTACGAGGAGTTAACCGCTCCGCAGAACCCACTTTTACTTCTACTAATTATCATTTACTAGCCTATAGTACGTCAAAAAATGATGGGGAAAGTATTACCACCCCCCATAGTATACCCTAACCTCACATTTCATAGCTAACTGAAATAAATTAAATCAAGCGAAATCAAGCTTGACCAACAAAGAGGCAGTCAAACGTCGGTAAATTCCTTTGTGAGCTAATCAAAATTAAGATCATTATGAAATGAATTCGTGGCGTATTCATAGAACAATTATTATAAAAATCAGTTAGATTAACAACACCTAATATACAGAAAAGCCGGTACGTTTTAGTAACACTAAACTAAACTAACTGGCAGTTATTTTGATGAAACTAATTATTTCACCTGAATTATTTCATCAGTGGCGTTCGAAGATTGAGCAATCTTCCTTCACCCCGCTTATGATTAGAAATTAGCACAGGCTAAGGTTTTTACAGGCTGATTGAGCATATTGTTACAGGGCAGTTGAAAACAATAATAAAATAAAATTTAAGGTGGCAGGAAAAATTGAAGGCAAAGGAGAAGTTGAGACAAGTGGAGGTGCTGGAGAAGAAAGTAAGTCGACAACACACAAAGTATTCCAACAAACGGGCCTTATCAGGGCCTGGCAGGGATCAATAAATCCAAGTGCCAAAGCTGGGATCTTTAGGTCCAATGTCTAAGGAATGTTTTCCGTCACTACCTCCCCGTTATGGGAGTGGGTAATTTGCGCGCCTGCTGCCTTCCTTGGATGTGGTAGCTGTTTCTCAGGCTCCCCTTTTCCGGAATCGAGCCCTGATTCCCCGTTCTATTCCTTAACGTGGACCCTGCCGTTCGCTCTCCGAGTCAGTAAAGAAACAAATAAACCTAATATTGTTGTTAATCTATGTAGTGAAAGTATAGAATGAAATGTATAGACAACAAAACTGGAAAAATATTTGTTGATTTCTTAATTTACAATTTCCGTTGATTAATGAGGTTTGTTTTCTATTAAAAACGTTGGTGATATAACATAAAATAGCTTAATTCAGAAACGATTTAAGTTTAAAATTGAATGGATATTTTTATTTTTTCCTCTTAAATTTTATGCACTTGGCTCAAGGCTAGGTGATCCCATATTACGTTTTTACTTAAGGCTTATTATACCAACACTCACTACACGATTTCACGTCACGCGCGCACACACACACACACTTCTCACGCCCCTCTTGCATCTCCGTCACTAAAACCGTAATGGACAGACAGTAATCGAACTATTCTATTTTGATAAATGCATTTTGGCTTTTATGACTCCTCCTATTTCGAGAAATCAAGCGTAACATGACGTAGCACACACTGGCTTTTATACAAATTACATTATATTGAATATTATTTATTTTATTCTATTATTGTTGTATATGTTTTTAAGTTTGTTTTTAACGCCAAGTACCCAAAGTATCTTTTCTCTCTTCAACAATCTCCTCAACGTTCTTCTAATAATAATGCCCAATTCAACCGTTGTTCCAATGTGAACGCCTTTAAGAAGCTGATGAAGCATTATTATAATTATACTTGGCATAAAACATTAGTATTAGGCCTATCATGGTTTTAAGGTAACATATACCCTTTACATAGTGTTATCTATGTTTTGGCCTTTTTATCAGAAAAAACATTTTCATACTATGCTTTTTATATGAAAATATATTGAAATAGGTACAAAGACATATTATGGCACATGTTGTGTAACATTACCACCGTGGATAATTTGCATATAATAAAAATAAAGAAATGTATTACGATAACTTCTACAAACACGACCGAATGCTCTTGAAAATGAGTCCAGACTTTGCACTCTGAAGGTAAAGGGGTTAAGGATTCCAAATATGCAAACAATTGAGTGTGATATTTTTTGACATTTAATGGGTATATGCTACCTTAAACACTACATTCTTTATGTAGCCCTAATAGAAATCGAATCTTTAAAGAATGTAGAGTGTTTAAAAATGTAATAGGCCTAATACTTATGTTTTATGAAAAGTAGACATGCTCAGTTCAATTGATTTAATGAGTTGATCTGACAAAGGTTTTCACAGTTTATTTTTGAGAAAATAACGTATAGAACCCTGAAGACGGAAGTTTAATTAGTGGTGAAAAACGTTTCTACAAAGGAAATTTGTACATTACAACCCATGATAGTGAATCTAATTAGCGTTTTTTCTTTGTTTTTTCGAAACAAGGAAATTTTCTCTCTGACGAGTCAGCATTGATGTTTTTTTTTTGGTTGTGTTTTTTCACACAAGAACTTAACCAACTGATCTGTTGCTGAGGTTAAAACATGCAAATCAAGTGTGGAACCATTAGTGGAAGCGTACAGAAAAAACAGTTGTTCACAAACACATATCTCAAAATGTGTGTTAAGTAATATATTAGCTCAGGGTTATTAAGTAAGATTTACCTTGGCTGTTATCATGGTTAGTTTAGGCATTGTCATGCTGTGTACAAGGTTGCCATTTATAACAAGCCGAATCTCGATCGTGTCTTGGGTAAACGCCATGATGTAGGGGAAGGCACAGACTATAGGGAACAGAAATATATTTCAAAACATGGTAATGGAAACTGAATCCATTCTTTTTTAGTAAAGATACAAAGGAAGCTAGTTTTAGTACACAGAACAGGTCAACTTATCTCATCCCATGTCCTAGAAGTGGTTTGATTTTTACACATCAAGAACATTTAATCGAAAATCTGCAGCATACTTTCAAGAATACAAGAACCAGGTCGTTTAAAGTTGTTATTAACGCCTAACATACTTATCATATATTAAGAGACTAATTAAAAGTTAGAATGATATCTATTTAGAATTCTTTAAAAACTTTAGTATAAAAATATCCAAGAGAGACATATGAACGTGACGATTTGTAATGTACTTGAAAATGTAGGACATTTTTTAATTAGTGTGTTTACTGCACAAACAAAATGAAATGTTCATACATATATACATTCAAAACAGAGCTTGCATACATTGGACCTGAAAAAAAGAACTATATACAGGATCGATACGTAAGTTTCTGTTAATATTAACTACCTGCTGTATAATTACGTCAGAGGTACATGAGCCTTTATTATAGCTCCAAACATTTACAAATTGGACTGTGGACTGTTCTACAGATTATATAGACAGTATACAATTATCTGTGAAAAGTGGAACATGAAAGTCGCAAATAAATACTTACAATATAATTTCTATTTCCTTTGATATTTCTTACCTATGGACTCCGGAACAGAATTCCACTGAAAATCAAAATCCGTGGAACGGTCATCTGTTAACTTTCGAAAGTGTGTCGTATCTGTAAAATATTATCAAAAGGAAGTAAAAATAATCTGCTGAAAATGTGTTGTATCTGCACTATATCATCAACTGCGAATAAACAGAAATGTTGAAAGTGTGTTGCATTTGCAAAATATCGCCAACAGAGAAAGTAAACGAAAATACTGAATGTGTGTCGTACCTGCAAATTATCAACAGAAAATAAACAGAGATGTTGAATGTGTCGTATCTGCAAAATATTGTCAACAGAAAGTAAACTGAGATGTTGAATGTGTCGTATCTGGAAAATCTTATCAACAGGAAATAAACAGAGATGTTGAATGTGTCGAATCTGGAAAATCTTATCAACAGGAAATAAACAGAGATGTTGAATGTTTGTCGTACCTGCAAAATATTACAAATAATAGGGCGTACATAGAGGTTCTGAAAATATGTAGTATTTGTAAAATATTATCGAAAGGAACTGTGAATCCGAGGGTTCATGGTTTGCAACCTGTTGTTGCCAAAATGCGCTCCGCACTTTGGGGCGTGGGTACGCTGTAAGAGTGACGGTCAAATCACACTATTCTGTCAGACAAGACGAAGAGTTGGCGATGGGTGCTGTTGACTAGCTGCTTGCTCTCTAGTCTATCAGTTCAGAATTAGGGACGGCTATGTGTAGCTTTGCGCTAAAACTTTGAAGCAAAAAAAAAAAAGAGTATAAAAATCTGCGGGACACGGCATCAAACAACGCTAAAATCAGGGGTTCGATTCCTCTCGGTGGACACAGCAGATAGCCCGATGTGATTTTGCTATAAGAAAAACACACACTTCAAATTTAAGGACGTCTAACGCAGATAGGCCTAACAAACGAGTCTAAAACATAATTATATCTTACTTAATATACTGGAAAAAGTAGTGTAACGATTTTATTGTTTCCAGCGTTTGCTACAATAAGAGCGTACCACGGTAGTAGGTGAAGTTTTAGTTTCTGAAACTTTAAATAAATATTAAGTAACGTCAAGGTCTTAGTTTGAGATTCTTTAATAACTGAAAATCTCAAGAAACGTTGAATTGCCAATTTTCAGAAGTTCAAACCTTTTAAAAAAAAATAGTGACGTTTTAAATTTCTTTAGTGTTTGATGATTTGATGCCCTACTCAAAACTGTTGAATTTCGTACATGTTATTGGACCAACGGCTTTTAACAATATTGTAACATAATCCAATGGTAAAAGATCAAACCGTGTTTTTGTTCTCTTTACTAGCAGGTAACATATAACTTCATCCCGGATTTTTTTTAGTTCGTGGAATATTGGTAATAATATTACCAATACTGCAATCTTTAAATATCTAACGTTAACTTTTGAATTCAAAGATACATTCACGTTACTTATAAAGTAGAATTTATAGAAAGAAGATCGGCCTTGAATGGAATTGAAGATTTTAGTAATGATGTTATACATGCTACAAAGCGAGAACTTCAGAAATGAGAATGTTAATCCATAAAGTGTTTCCACACGTTACACTTTTCTGCTTTGTATGATGGGATACATTAAGATGAGATGTTCCAGAAAGGGTAAGTAGCATTACTACTGTACTTCTAACCTTTAAATAATTAATATTAATCACACGCCTGGGAAGGACTACAACAAGAATTCCCTTGTTCTATATCTCCTCCCGTTAACTCTTCACTAAGATTAATTGGTATCTAATTATTTAATTATGCATGACCCTTGCATTGTCCTCTTCATTTGCTGATGAATGGTACGTACAGATGTACACATTTTCTCAGTTAATAAGATTTGTTTATACATTTTGATTATATTTCAAAGAGCTAAGGTTTCTAAAGCCGTAAGCATAATTAAATTCAATATAAAGGAACACTTAATACATACATTTATATAATATCTACTATACTATCTTAGTAATGATGTAAATTCTAGTTTTAAAATGCCCTTTAACTTTCGGGTAAACATGGTAGAAATGGATGTTTACAATTATTATGAGTTGCTATAATAAACATTCTGCTGTTTAACTCACGGTTATAACAGAGCAATAATTCAGCCTCCTCGTCTTCGTAAATGTCAATAGCCGTCACCAGATGGACCTATCGATGTAAAAACAATGCTATATAAATTAATTTTATTTGAACGATTATTTTCCAGCATATTTATAAATTACTTTTGTTTAGATTACTTCTAGCAATGACGAATAATTAACACTACGAGCGTGTACATTACTAACGTCAAATCTAAATAATATGTACTTAACGGTACGCCAGAAAGACAACGTCACTTACATCTCTGAATTTTCGAATTTATATAACTTATCTTATCATTTTCTCTCAAAAATATGATAATAATTAGAACGCCTCACTGATTTCGTGTTGTCTAAATTAAATTTTATTTGAAGAAGGAGGAAAAATAGGACTTTATAACTGCCAGAAGAGCATTTCTTTAAAAAAAATTATCTCATTGCGCTAATAGTAACTATGCTGATTCACTTCCGAAAAGTAAGAAGTCATAACTTATTCTAAAATTATCTCACTAATTATCTTACTATAATGGAGCAATGGCGTGGCCGTCTACATATCTATCTATGTATGTGACCGAAATAGTAAATATAACGGTGCCATATGTTGTGCTGAAAAATAACAAGGTTTCAATGCCAGAGGTGGTGATTGAGGCTTATGAAATGTGGCGCAATCTATTGAATGGCACCACAAACGAATATACATAAAAATATTCACACTTTGGGTATTCAAGATTCAGACAATTAGAAAAATAACTACGGTATGTGTAACAACCATCTCTTTATAATAAAACACAATTTTAACTAAAAGTACTATTCTCACAACAAGAACACAACTTTCACTAGGACTGCACGTGAGGGTTTAATATCTTTATTGATGTAATTTTTAAATGTAGTACTAAAAAACTAGAGTTCATAAAAAAAAAACGATTATTTTTTCAATAAAGGGTACCACTCATAATATATGAAAACATTATATTTGCGTATGACTAAAGAACACAATCCGAACACTTTTCCCGTGCAGTACTTCTCAGAAAAAAATATTTATTTTAGAAAATGTTCACTTTTTAAATTTTTTTCAATGCGGTATTAATACTACGATTAGTAATCACTAGCACAAAAATCCGCCCGTAGGGCGCGTACAACCGCTATTAATAAAATGACAGAGGCCATAACTTATTCTACAGTTTCCTTGGTCTGCGGAGTATCACCTTCCTTGTAGTTTACTATAAAGTACACAGAATTAGATGTACGTGATTGCATAACAACATTTCAACGTTAAGGTTTCAAATTTAACATCAAACGAATGCCAGCTTTACACACAAATCCAACAGAAATGTCAAAGGTATTTGTATTTTATCATTAAAGTCCTTTAAGCTACCTAGAAGTAGACCTCAAGCGAAATAAAACGAGACTTAATTGTGAAAAAGGACCTTTAGTTGACCGTGTTCACAAGATTCTTTTATAAAGTGATTAAGACTAATCGGGTTAAGCATAACTAATATGTTTGCGAAATCACTCGAATTTTTGAAAAGAGAAACCTGATTTGTTACAGGATTTGTAGAGTAGAAAATAAGTAAATTCAACAATTTTGCTAAATTTTGATATATCTCTGTTGCGCTTCAATACCGGAGAAAGTATTGTAAATATAATTAAAACATAAAAAAAGGGAAACAAGTAACGGTTGTATCATCTATACTTTAATTTTGGACTGAATTTTACCAAGCCAACTTGTAGAACTAAAGAGGAGAAAAAAATGATAAAAACAATAGTACATTTGTATTTTTAAGGCCTTTCTCTCTTATATGAACTTCTCCAAAATAAATATAAGCCTACAGTTCAAAGAACATAAAATTAATTAACTAATTAATTCAAAAGTTTGAAGTTACACCTACTCAGTAAAACTATTAAAACTGTCAAAGCAAGAAAAGTTTTAGTTTAATCAAAACACAAGTTCATAAAATTTGACCATTCTTCTAATGACTTCTGATAAAGATTTTCTAAAAGCAGAAAACATAGTTAATTTGTAGATTAAAAGTGCACTTTCTATAATCCATATATATCAAACATAAAAGCTTATGTTAACACCGTTAGATGAAGATTTCGTTATAGGCCGTGATCGCATATACACGATTACTATTTTCTTCAGAAAATTTAACACTTTGAAATTTGAAGTATATTTTCTAGGATTAAATACAGTTGCCGATTCATACTTCAATAATGTAATGATTATTAAGTATCTGTAGAATGAAATGATCAATATTTAATGCAGTTAAGTATAAATTTGACATTATGTAATAAAAAGTTCGTAGGTCATTACTTTACAATTTCAATATAATTAATGAATAATCAATTATAATTGCAGTTTTGGGAATGCGGTCCTTTTACGGGCAAATACAAAAATAATTTATACCTTAGAAGAAAAAAAATCTTGGAAATAGAAAAAAATATTTCATTTTGTATTAGGACTCAAGGAAATATTAAATCAGGGCCATAATTATAATTGTTGCTGACTAATTTTTCATTGAATTCAAATAATTAAAATAGTGGTAACACGGATATTGTATACATGGAATTCTGTTTGTGTTGTCCTTATGAAATAGTAAAACTGAAACTCAGAAAATACATACACACATGTATCCAGACTGACTCCATATTACTTTACCCACGTTTTTTATAATGTTTTATGCTGCAGAAAAACAATAAAATTGTTTGTGGAACACCCTCTGGTAGAAAACTAAGAAAACTATTTGCTACAACCACCTACCTTACTACCCTCCACGTGGTGTAGATGAAGCGAATCTCCATTCTTTTCATTGATCAAGTCAAATTGGTGGCGATACCCTACACATATCAGATTTTCCCCTCCAGAGACAGAACTGTCCACCAGGGTGAGCAACTGTGGCGTTTCCGCCGCGGGAAGCTCCTAGACAGACAGCAAAAAAAAAAAAAAGAAAAAGATTCATGATTCAAAGTGATACAAATATTTCTAGATAATGAAAGCATTAATTCAAATTCAATTAACTACAGTTACAATGACACAAAATAAATCTGCTTAGTTTTAATGACAAAACATTCATTCATATGTAGAACTAAGATACGAAATTTGATGACGAGGAACCCACTTTAACCCACTTTTTAGACTAGAGTACAGTGTACTCAGTACAGCGCATACCTCGGCCATGCAGCATTGATCATATTCGGCCATCAAAAAATACAATTTGTATGTTGATTATCAAGATATTATTAAAAATTGTCTTACATTATGAAACAATAAATTACAATCTTTATAAGTAAGAACGTAAGAAAAGTATATTTCATTAACTTTACTTATTACTGGGTAGATTTTTAATTTTGCTCCAAGTAGTCTCCCGGTGGGACAACAGTATGTCTTCGGATTTACAACGCTAAAATCAGGGTTTCGATTCCTCTCGGTGGACACAACAGATAGTTAGATGTGGCTTTGCTATAACAAGCCCGTCAGTGGCACAGCGGTATGTCCGTTGACATACAACGCTAGAAATCGGGTTTCGATACCCGTGATGTGTAGCTTTGTGCTTAATTAGACACACACACAAACAAACAAGTGCTATAACAATACACATACACACACACATGCTTTAAGTAGGTAGCATACTTTGACCGGTAGTTAATATTAATGGTGAGGTTTGCTACAACTGACAAAAGTATCATCGACATACCTTAGATAATACAAAGGCTGAAAAATTACTGGACAACTTTTTCGCTAAAAACAGATTCACAAGTGTCGGCACTAGTTTTGATTCAATTGTAATTCCACCAATTTATTCATATACACTACTATCAAAAATAAAATTATATCTTTTGAAGGTAAGTTTAATTATAACAAAATTATTTAGTTTGTTTCATTTTAGATTCGTTAAAAATACCCATCAAAACACAGACATACTCGAATGAACTGAAACCCTTCGACTGTGTCAGTGTCAGCAGACACGCACCATGCTGTCCATGCCGCAGAGTGACGCCACTGCATAACCAGTAACTTTTTACCAACAGCTACTACCATCCGAAGATGACTTCCACCTGGTCTGCTCAGAGCGTATAGATGACAACCTGTTGTTTCACGTTATAAAAGATATATTAACAATCCTTCTTCAAAACTAACTCTTATGATATAGCGCCACACGAAAAAAAAAAGCAATTACTCGTGACAAATACAAAATTAATGTTTAATGTTTCAGAAAATTGTAAATATATTTTTCTAATCAAATTACCGCTTCATATATATATATATATATATATATATATATATATATA